CAGACCAGTCCAGTCCCACACTGACTGCCTCTGTTCCCAGAGAGTGTTTTTGTACCTGAGCCCGTTGACGATGTCCTTGGTCTTCCCAAAGTAGATCTCGTTGAGAGTGGAGCGGATCTTATTTTCCATATCCTGACAAAGACAAGGGGAGAGACGGTTGAGGTTTTTATTCCTTTTTTCTCCCGATTCCCATGAGGAAATCCCGCTACTGTGTCTCTACACTGAGTGTCTCCCATTCACTCAGCACCAGGTGAGAGGAAAAATGATTTCCCGAAGGGCAACCAATAGGCAGCTCTGAACTTGTCACACTACGACAGTTTCAGCCAATCAGACAGCCCGACCAAGGCTGCAGTTCCACTCACCTCCACCAGGCGGCCGATGTTGGCGATGTGTGGAGACGACTCGCTCACTGTCTCATCCTTCTCCATCTGAGAGAAAGGAGGAGACAAACACAGTAAGTGACTTGGAATGCTCCGAATGGTGACCTCAAACCAGTCAGTGCAGTGGGTCACCGGTCAGCTGCGTGGGGCCTGTCTGGCTAGAACAATGACCCATCCGGCACTGACTGCTGCTGGCCTGGTCCGAGTCCAGCCCATCCAGTCTGAGAATTACCTGTCTGGTCAGGCTGCCTCCCAGGTTCATGGTGCCAGAACCGGTCTTTGTCGTCTGGAGCCACAGCATCACAGTGGAGGTTAGTTTGTAGTGGGCAGTGCGGCCGCTTGATTTTTCCTGAGAGTGTGGAAATCGGGTAATAATGTTAACTACACTTCGTTCTGCTCTCTCTTCCTGCCTCTCTGCTCCTTGCCAGCTCTTCGAAACACCTTCCTCTGTCCCTTGTCCTCTCCCATCTCTCCCTCCCCATCTCCCTCGCCCTCTCACCTGCACCTCCACCACATGGATGGAATCCCAGCAGCCCTTGATCTTCTTGGATCCGTCTCCAGCTTTTTTGATCAGGATCACTCCAGCAAAGCCGTGGTCCAGATCCCACAGGTACACTGAAGACACGCCCCCCTCGAAGTACCTATCAGAGAACAGCACTGAGCCACACACACCTCGAAGTACCTATCAGAGACCAGCGCTGAGA